GCCTGATATTAAAGCAAGCTCGTCCAATGGTGCGTGAATTACTCCATCCGTTCAGCTTAAATATGCCAGAGGCTACCTCAACTCAGGAGATGTGTGTGTATGCAAAGACCTATTTTCAAGACATAGTCTCCACGAGGAGGCCATATGACGCAGCTGACACAAATCTCGCTCTATCCTCCAATTTTTGGGAAGGACTACGGGGATGCATATCGCAAGGAGCAAAGAACCAGTTAGACGCCCCATTTACGATTCAGGAACTGCACGGAGCAACTAAGCAAATGGCTAAAGGGAAGGTGCCAGGGTTGGATGGCCTCCCAGTTGAATTGTTCTTAAGTGCATGGGATGCTTTCGCCCCTTTTTTATGCCAAATTTTTAACAGCTGCCTTGAGTCTGGACAGCTACCTAAGGGCTGGCTAACCGGGGCAATATCCCTGCTTTATAAAAAAGAGGATAAAAGGGAGGTAAGAAATTACCGACCTATTTCAGTACTTAATGTGGCATATAAAATTTTGGCTAAGGCCCTGGCTACTAGACTGGCCAATTACCTACCAGAACTGGTTGGCAAGGAGCAAGGGGCCTTCGTAAAGGGGAGGTCTATATTTGATAACATAATGTCGACAATACAAGCTCTAGAGGTGATTGGAAGGGAGGAGAGAGAAGTGGCGATCTTGCTGCTGGACATGGAAAAGGCCTACGATAAAGTAGGCTGGGCCTTTGTTTTTACTTCCCTGGACAAAATGGGTTTTGGTTTGGGATTTTGCACATGGGTGAGAGCCATGTATAAGCAGGCGTCATCGATAGTGGTGGTGAACGGTCAGATGTCAGAGGAATTCTCGCTTTCCAGGTCGCTCAGACAAGGTTGCCCTCTAGCTCCGTTATTGTTTGTCATACAACTAGAAGTTCTTCTTCATAATATCAGAAGGAATACTAGTATTATAGGGCTTCACCTCCCCCCCACCATTCATTGGAAGGGGGGGGCAATAGCAGATGATCTTACAGTTGCATGTATCAATAAGAAAGATGCTTTGGAGGAACTTAAGTTGGTGTTGGATCAGTACTGTGTTCTTTCGGAAGCGTCCATTAATTGGGACAAATCTGTCTATTTCCTGCCACAGTCACTCACCCTAGAGGCAGATTGGGGGTTGCGTAGGTTGCCTGCTGACACGTCCGATCGCTTCTTGGGCGTACAAGTTTCATTAGCAGACTGCTCCGCTACACAGGATACGATACTTTCGGACAAGGTAGTGGCCCGGATCAATGGGTGGGTGCGGAATCATCAATTATCCCTGTTTGGGAGAGCGCTGGTCCTTAGTTCTGCAGCCTTTTCTAGTCTGTGGTTTCCGCTGACCGTACATCTACTTGGAGAGGCGGCCTATAAGGCGATTAAAAAGGCAGCGTCCAGGTATATTTGGAAGCCTTTAGCCACAGAACATCAGAGTGTTCTTATAAAGGCTGCTTGGGAAATTATCTGTTGTGCTAGAGATAAAGGGGGGCTAGGGATTTTGGACCCTCTCCAACAGAACATAGCTCTATTGGCTAAGTGGCCGGTGGCCGCAATGGTAGGGGACCCAGAGAAATGCTGGGTTCGACTGGCTGAGTATATATTAATGAATGAATGGTCCCTTAGCCAGGGTTCACATGTCTGGCTGTGCCTGTTGATTCTGTCATACTGCCAAAGGAGACCAAGAGCGAGGGTCTGGCACAATATCTTACAAGCCTGGAACAAAATTCGCCCCAAACTGTTGGACGAACCGAAATCCAAAGGGGAGATTTTGAACCAGATTTTGTTTGAGAATAGATTTATTCAAGACAAGGATTTAAATCAGCTGAGAGCAGATGGCGCAACAGGCTCCTTTGGCAGGACTTGGATCCAGCAGGGGATAATCCAACTACGGGACCTGTGGGACGAGGAGGAGTCTGAATGGAGGCCTTTAAATGAAATCAAAGGGAAATTACCTAGAGTTAGGCAGGTGGAACAGAATTATAACATAATCAAGCAGGCAATGCCTAGCCATTGGATCCAAGCCCTGCAGAGAGACAGTGAACAGAATGAGGGGAGTTGGGTTCAAGACCCGGTTAATGCGCATAAAGTCTGGAAAATCCTGGGACCGGACCTGAGGTCCGGCACGAGGATCCAAAAATGGAGAACAGGGTTGGGGAGACGCAGGGATTTTTTGTCCTTGGAGGAGGAAGATGTAGTGGCCTCAACTACTGATTTGGATGAAGTAAGAGTATTGGAGCAGCAAACAAAAAAAGGCACAGAAGCACAACTGATCCTGGGACCGCAGGAGAAGTGTATGATAGAACCAATACTCTTTGGATGAGACTTGTCTTCGGAAGCACGGACGATTCCAATATGCAAGTACAGGACTAAAATTGGGGTTCTTCTCCAACAAGAGAAAGTAGTAAAGAAACCAATATTAATAGCCAAGAGGAGGCTTGCAGAGGTTCAGGGGTGCTCTGTGGAGGAATCGGACCTCTTGAAACTATGGAAAGCATTGAGACTTATCCCTTCACAGAGACAGGCGGCTCTTCAATGGCTCCAGTCGTTACAGATTGTGCCTACCTCGATATGGTTGAATACGAAGGGTATGGACATCCCTACCACATGTGTACGTTGTGACCGGGGCTGGGAATCGTCCACACATTTGTGGGTGTGCTGCCCCTTGTCAGATGAAATATGGGAATGGTGGAAGGAGTTCTGGAAATGCACGACTTTGACGTTCCTGTGGGAAGACGAATTCATACTCTACGGAAACTGTCATTGAAAGCCAGTTTTGAATCTGGGGTGAACTACTTGGCTCTCTGTTGTAGGGGTATAATCATGGAACAGATTTGGGCAGCCCGGAATGCACGGGTGTTTCGAACAGAGGTCATGGCTTCTCAACAGATCAAGAACCAGATCAAGGCTGCCATCAGACTGGCTCTGTACGCGGACTGGAAGAGGATGGACAAATATTGGTTCAGGAAGACCTGGGTTACAGGGAATTTTACCAGGATAACAGGGGAAGGGAATATGGAAGTAGCTACCTGGTTATACTGATATGGCAGGATGAGACGATTTAATCTCCCACAGAGTTATAAACAGTCAGAAAAGTAAGGTCTGGGTTGGTCTTCGTCGAGGAGTTGTTGGTAGACACTGTACGATAAAGGGGGTCGTTAAGCTTCTTTGGTACAAAAAGGCTTGATCTTTCAAATTGGGGCTCAGAAGCTTAGAATGGATGTTGCACTTTCATGTAGCCTGAAGGAGAATCACGTCTTATGTTAATTGCTTGGTCGGCTCAGGCCAGCCTAAGGCACATCAGGTACTTTGAATACAGGAGCTTATACATCAACAGATCACCTTTTTTTACATTGTGCTTTCAAGGTTTATTTTTTGGAAAGCTTCAAGGAATGGGACGCTGGACCCGGTTTCCAGCAGGTAGTTTCAGTCGTTTGGAATATCGAACTTTGATCTGTCGAGCTGGATTCGTAAGCGAAACTGGCTGAGGCTGCCAGGTTAACTCCGGGTTGAATTGTGAGGTCCCCGGCCTCGTCCCAATGTTTTTGTAATAAAAGTGTAAGCTTTTCAAAAAAATAAATAAGAAAAATCTGATCTAACTCGAATGTAACTAAGATGAAACTTTTAATGTTTTTTATTTATTTATTTTTTTATTTTTTATAAATAAGATGTAACTCTAATGTTAACTTTGATCTAATTCTAATTATATCTAATTTATCTCTAATCTTACTCTAATATAACTCCGATCTCATGGTGATCTATCTCTGTTGATGTAGCTTCGGATGCTGACCCCAGTAGCCAGCAGATGATGGGCCACGCCAATAGATGGAGTCAGTCTATAGAAGGAAAAAAAATAGCCGCGCAGACCTGAAACCTGGGGCCCCTTTGGGCAGCGAGATGCTGGCCATCGGGATCGCACGCTGTCAATGAAAAAGAGAAAACGGATCTCCCAAGAGTCCAACCGGATAGGGAAAGGAAAAAAGAAAAGAAAAGAAATGAAACGTAAAAATAATAAAAAGAAAAGGAAACGGATGTCCCGAGCATGGCCGCTGTGCACACATCGAGACGTACGTCTGTCTGTTCTTCATCAGCGGCCATGCTACCGTCTTCCCCCGAACACAACGCACCCTCAATTTGGCTGTATGTGGCCGGAAATATAGCTTTTATACATTCATTTTTTGGGTGCGTTATGTTCGGTGGAAGACGGTAGGGACATCCGTTAGGAGTGAAGCCACGCAGAGAAGATGAAGCTCCTATCTCCATTCTCCATTAGTACTCGGCATTTGGAAATCCGACCTCCATTTTTTTTTTTTTTTTTTTTTTTTTTTNTCTCTTTTTTTTTTTTTTTTTTTTTTTGTCCTCAATACAGAATACTTATTAAGCAAGACTGTACAGAAAGCAGACAGACAGAACAACAAACAAAGCACAAGAGGTTAACGAAAGACTGTGTCGGTGGACTTGCACCAACTCATCAACGGGCTGAACCCTCGACAGTCTGTAGAATCCCCATATTGACGCTTTGAGCCCTAGACTCTTTTTTTTTTTTTTTTTTTTTTTTTTTTTTTTTTAATTTTTTTCCCTTTTTTTTTTTCTCATTTTTTTTTTTTTTTTTTTTTTTTTTTTTTTTTTTTTTTTCTCCGTTTTTTTTTTTTTTTTTTTTTTTTTGTGAACTCTTCCTCTCTAGAGCTTCTACAATTCTCCTGATCAAATAACGAAGGCAGCTCACAGTTAGCTTGTCCTCGGAGAGAAGATTCTCTCGCTAAGCTTCTACACTTTTTTTTTTTTTTTTTTTTTTTTCCCTGACGGAATGCAGGGCAGCTACCATAGCTAGTTCTCGCAGAAAAGCTTCTGCTTCTGTCACTAAGCTTCTACATGTTATTCTACCTTCTTCCCCCGAATACAACGTACGGTCATTATGGCTGTATTTAGACTAAAAGATGCTCCAAATACACAGCTAAAATGACCGTACGTTGTATTCGGGGGAAGACGGTAGTTCGAACAGAGGGTAGCTACCATAGCTGGTTCTCGGGAAGGACCTTCTCTGACGAAGCTTCTACATTTTTTTCCTGATGGGATCGAGAGCAGCTAGCTTGTGATCGGAGAGAAGCTTCTCGACGTGAGCCTCGCCTTTGCTAATCATGGTGAGCAGCCACTGCCAAGTCCTCTGCGGTCCCTCTCCCTGCGCACCGAGGCTCAGGAATCGTAGCCGTTGAGATGCTAGATCCTCATCGTCCATGTAATCGACCCACACTGTAGGTCTGTCAGGATATGGAGATATGGAGTGTTTAGAGGCGAGGAAGGAGCCGTCCACACACCATCGATCTCGGAATCGAGCGCAAGCACCGCCGTCGATGAAGAAGGGGATATGAACACTGGCCATGCAGGCATCAATCAGGTCGCGCTTGCTATGGAACTGGCACACTCCTCTTCTGACAAATGCCGGACTGCGGCGACGGAGGCTCGGCAGCTCCAGCACGTATATGTGCAATCGACCGTCACACAGCTGGGCGGCATTGGGCGGCAGCAACTCGTCCAGCCACGACCTTATCATGGGGCCCCAAATGCCGCCCAATCCCGTCGGACGGTCCCACACCCTATTATCTAAGGACAACTGAAATGCAAGCTTCGTGGCCTCCTCGGCATCCACCTCGCAGGCTGCCAAGGTAGCCGCCAGGGCCCCCGCGCTGGCCCCGGCCATGTCCGCTTTGTCCAAGTCGAAGTGTCTAGACAGCGCCCTAGCCGCTCCCAATTGCCAGTAGAAGAAGATCCCCCCTCCTTGGAAGCTCAGTAAAGGACGTTCAATTGCTTCCTCCTCCTCCTTGGCCTTCGTTGTGATGATCGGTGCACTACCAGCTATTAACGAAGAAGAAGAAGAAGAAGAAGAAGAAGAAGAAGGAGGAGGAGGAGGAGGAGGAGGAGGAAGCGAAGATGATGAAGAAGAAGAAGGTGAAGATGGTGAAGGTTGGGAGAATAGAAAAGGTGGTGTGGAGAATGACGCAGATGAGGGAGATGATGGAATCGGAGGATGTGAAGAGGAGGATGGATATGGTGTCCTGCCATTGAAGCTAGAGTACAGGTCGTCGTCTAGTAGGCTGCCGTCGACGACGAACCGTGTACGGGAGAACACTACCGTCTTCCCCCGAACACTACGCATCCTCCTCTTGACGGTATCGGACCGGAAAGCTAGCTTGTATGCATTCATAATGAGGGTGCGTTGTGTTCGAGGGAAGGCGGGTAGTACAGACCGCAAAGGGGTAAGAGAAGGGTACGGTGGTGAGCCGATTCGAGAGGCCGGTCGGCCAGTCCCAGCGCCAGCGCCTACCGGTAGTCGATCGGCTCTGCTGACGAAGTGTGAGGAAGGCAGCTTGCACTTTTCGATGTCGTTTATTACCTGCTCGCAGGCACGCCGTGCAGCAGCGGCGATGCCTGTACCACGGTTCACCCCCCAGGCATAGACTCCTCTCCTCCCTGCCCCCGCTCTCTCCTCCCTTCTAATTCCTCTCTCTTTCTCCCTTACGCTACTCTCCTCTCCTACTCCCCTCTCCGCTGTCCATAACTGACCGGTTATTCCCTGAGTACCGCTATGTGGCACCAGGCTGCAGTTCCCGCCGTTCCAGCCCCTCCCGCCATGCTTGCCGTTCCCGCCAGATCTGCCCAGCTTCTTCACAGTCAATCTGCTGATTGGTGGTGGGAGGCGAAAGGAGCGACATGCATACGTGGACGACGATTCGCCAGCGTGACGCTGACTGCGTGGAAGCAGCTGCTGCTCGAGCCACGTGGCAACATAAGAGACAGACACGTGGTCCGAGCCCCCTCGTCCTACGACGTCCACCCGCTGCGTAGCCGCGCTTTTTCGGTCGGATAATGACCACAATGCAGGGCGGGAAACTGCCCGCCCGGGCGTGGGGCTGCCGCCGACACGTGTCGCCTGCATGGCGCTCGTGACTCTTGCAGATTCTGCCGACGACGACGATTGGAGCGATCAAGCGAAGCTTCGAGACCGACGAGTCACATTGGCAATTTCCCGCTCTCATCTGCTTCAAGAAAAACAGGGGGCGGGGGGGGAGGGAAGGGGGGGAACACGCAAAAGAGGCATCCATGTAGGGGCTGTGCCGCTGCAGATACATCTTTTCAGTTTTTTAACGGATGCGCCGAGCGCCGCAAGACGCTGTAGATATAAGGGCCTCGCCGCCCGGCGCACGACGCACGACGCACCAAACGCAAAACTCACCAAATGTGAAAAGAACAAAAGCTATGGTGGTCCTTCGGGACATCCGTTAACATTGGAACGATACAGAGAAAGAAGTTTTTTTTTTTTTTTTTTTTTTTGAGAAAGAAGATTAGCATGGCCCCTGCGCACTCAAAGATGAAAAAAAAAAAAACAAACGCTATGGTGGGTGTATCTTTCCGACTTCTACGCGAAGTTGAGTTCTCCATTTTACACATTCGTGAAAAAGACAAAAACTATGGCGAGCCAAAAAAAAAAAAGAAAGAAAAAAAAGAGCTATGGCCAGTGTATCTTTCCGAGTTCTACACGAAGATGCGTTCTCCATTTTACACATTTTGTCAGTACTGCGGCCAGTCCATAAGAAAATGGCGATATAAAAAACAAAAGAAAAACAAAAAAACTTAAAAAAAGGGAAAATGGCGATATAATAGAAGAACTGGTAAAAATGTTCTTCTGAGGGAGGCCGTCTGGTGTGGTGTTTCTCGGCCGAAAAAAACGACGGAACACAAAATCGATCCTGCTGGGGATCGAACCCAGAATCTCCGGTTCCGTAGACCGGCGCCTTATCCATTGGGCCACAGGACCCTGTACTTCAAATGGCCACTAAAACCATTAAATATAAAAACAGTTAGGCTGTGGGGGCTGTGGGGGGTGGGGTTCCATTTACCCCGATCCAGCGAATTCGGTTGTAGACTCGAGCTGTGGGGGCTCGCTTCCATTTATCCAGACCCGAAACAAAGAATTCAGGTTAGGGGACGCTAGGCCCCGAGTGGGCGTGCGATTTGCAAAATCCTATGTCTTTTTTACCCTTTCTTTTTAAGACTAAACCACCAGTAGTGCAACCGGAGAGCGTGGGCCCAAGGGAAAAGGGCAAATGGACTGCAGGCTGTCCTCTTGGTTTATGCCGTGCATGTGGACAGCCACCAGGGGCCAGGTCCCACTAGCAGCTTTGAGTTTCCTCAACGCCTGAATCTGGATGCGTTCGTGGGGATGTGCCGTTGAGAAAAACTCAACGCGATTTCTGCACATATCCACAGACACGTCCAGATTCAGGCGTTGAGGAAACTCAACGCTGCTGGTGGGACCTGGCCCCAGGTGAAAGAAGGGCGTTTTCAAGCTAGCGGTTTCCACAATGTATTGGACCGCAAGTGGGGGACTGTTCACGGCAACTGGGGGACTGTTCACTCACAGAAAGGAGTGGAGGAGAGGTCACCAGGATGACCCTCCACAAAATAGCAGTACAGAGTAGCGAACTCGCCGTACTCTGTGGCGGATTGAAAACCAGGCGCCTAATAAGGCTATCAGAAAGCTATGTCATTGAATCTAAAAAGGGATGCCGGACCTGATTTTCTTCGGTCATATGCAGAGATGCTAGAATTACTAGAAGTATTTTTTTATGGAAAGGATGCTGGATCTGGTTTCCAGCCAGTTTCTCTATCACTTCTTCTGAGGACACTGGACCTGCTTTCCAGTCTGATACCCAAGATAGGATGCTGGAGCTGTTTTTCAGCAATCCGGGTTGAATTGTGAGGACCCCGGCCTCTGTTCTTGTGCTTTTAATACCAAGCAAAGTAAGTAAAAAAAAAAAAAAAAAAAAAAAAAAAAAAAAAAAAAAAAAAAAAAAAAAAAAAAAAAAAAAAAAAA